TTTTGAATTTTTTTCCTGTAAAAAGTTTTGCAAAGAGAGGAACAAGTGATAATCGGAGGGTGCTAGGTCTGGGGAGTATGTTGGATGCGACAGAATTTCCCAGCCTAGCTCTGCGATTTTCTGACGAGTCGCCAAAGCAGCATGTGGTCTGGCATTATCATCGGTAGCCATGTTTTCACGATCGCGTCTCGCTTAATAATGACACGAGACATCTTTGTTTCAGTTTATTTAGGAGAGTACATGTGCGTAAATGCAACGATAAAGAGAGATAGTCATATATGTCTCAAATCAACATGTGCATATGGATTGAAACTTGAAGTGACACTATCGGACAGAACTTTCCGGTACACATAATATATTGTATATATTATTATTGTTTTATTTTTACGGTAGCTAAAGAAAATGTTCGACGCGCCGAGTGCAGCGCTGGTTATATTTGGATGACAGTAATTTTTTTACTAGTTTTCCAAGTTTATTTTCATTGCGACGTGTTCGGACAAATCGAATTTTACTAAGATCTTTGGGACGCGAAAGGATTAAAGTATTGTTTATTTTTATAAATTTTCACTTTCTAGTTTCTGTTTCAGTGATTAAATGATCTCGATTTTGGAAATTAGAAATGGAAATTTTTGGGACTGACTTTGGGCACTCAGCGTGTTAAACGATGTTATATAATTGTTATTTTAAAATTGTAATTGAAACTCTTTGTTTCAGTTTATTTAGGAGAGTACATGTGTGTAAATGCAATGATAAAGAGAGATAGTCATATATGTCTCAAATCAACATGTGCATATGGATGAAAATAAATATAAATATAAATAAATATAAATAAATATAATAATATAAATAAATATATATAATATAAATAAATAAATATAAATAAATAATTGAAACTTGAAGTGACACTATCGGACAGAACTTTCCGGTAGACCTAATAGAAATACTGAAAGTTAGAAAAATGATTTTATATTTACAGTTAAAATAACTTCGAGTGCAAAAAGGGTTAATCGTGCCGAATCGATGGTCCGACAGAAAAAAAAAGAGAGAAAAAAGAAAGAACGGTGAATAATTTTCGTCAGCTTATCGGAAACACGCCGCCGGAAGGATCGTTAAAAATGTTAAAGAGAACGAACTGAGAGTCCGAATCGGCGGGATTCCCGTGTAACGAGGGACTAATTGCGTCGGAAACAGGGATAGCCCAGTTTCGAGATGCCCGATGATGGGTGGCACGGGAAACGGAATCGAAGCGCGCGCGCGGGGCGGCTCGCCTTTATTTATCGGCATTGTGATCCCCCGATATTCATCATTCATGAATAATTCAGAGATGAAATGCTTACAGTTACACGGGACACGTGACGGCGATGTTCTCCCGCGAACAAAACAGTGGAACGGGTCCCGGGCTCGTTTTATTTCGCTTACGGGACCGTCTCCGTTTAACCCGAATCGCGTTCCACGCTTTCGACTTGCGTACTTATTTACGCGCGTGCGTATGTCGAGCACGCTTTCGAAACGGAAAGGCAGAGAGACCCGCTGCTCTGCCCGTCGATTTCATTCGTATCGCTACGATTTAACCTGTTAAGCGGCGAATTTAGTTTAAAAAAAAAACCCGCAGCGTGCGGAATTGAAATCAAGCGACGACGTGTATGCACGACGAACGCAGGGTAAAGTGGTTCTATTACAAATTTTATGAGAAACGAAGAAGAACTAGATTTTTATTTAACGCTTTATCGACCGCTTGTGTATTTATCGGCTTTTCGATTGCCAATGCTTATCGAACGATAGCCTATTAATCGGATTTTAGCTATCGACGGTTTTCGTTTTTTTACTGTTTTGTTAGCAGAGAGAGAGAGAGAGAGAGAGAGAGAGAGAGAGAGAGAGAGAGAGAGAGAGCTGTATACTAACTTCTCTATACCCTTATGAATTATAATATAATATAATATAATATAATATAATATAATATAATATAATATAATATAATATAATATAATATAATATAATATAATATAATATAACATAATATAATATAATATAATTATAATATATGAATTATAATAATAATAATTATTATTATTATTTATTATTATTGTTAAAGGAATAAACACAACACAATGAATAGCGAAAATTTAGCCGGTACTGGGAGCAAATGCGCGCGCGACTATACCAGTCCTTGCTGAGTGGCAGCCTCAACCACGACCGGACGATGAAGTGTTAAGAAAAACTTAACAATTTATCTCCGAAAAGTTATTGTTATTATAGACTTAAAAATTCTTAAACAATAATAAAATACATAAACGAGAAAGACACATGTAGAAAACAAAAACATTAACCCTTAGCGCTCCGCGCGTTTCTCGAGTACCGCCTACCAGCAACTCCGGCACATTTTTTGAGCGGAGCGCCCGAGATAAAGGAAGTCTTATTTTCAGCGGGAAAGATTACACGTCCTTGCGAATGCATTTGATTTGATTTATTTTATAAATATACATTTTCCTATTGTAAATAAAAGATAAATTTCAAATTTTGTAATTCACCATGGCGCGATATCATTGATAACAATCTCCCATGTGCGTTTTGGGTTTACTTGGACAAGTGTCGCAGTATTCGCTTTGCCAAATAGAGTTACTAGATATTTCTTTCAAGTTTAGAACATTTTCTGCGCAATCGTTGGTTTCCTTTATAGTTTCATTTACCGATTCGTCCGTGAAAAATAATTTAAAATATCGTATCGGCTGTTCAATGTTTGTGGGAACTTGTGGTCCAATGACCCGTGGCAATACGCTAAAAGGTATTCTATCCGGAATATGCAATTCTTCCGTAACATCGCGCCATTCATCCAAGTCTTGTAACGAATCTTCGCTTTCGCTTTCAATAATTCTCATTCTTCGTCTCTTTGGTAGTATAATTTCGCTATTACTACTCGAAGTGTCAGAATCATAACCAACATTGTCTTCCACAATGTCTTTTAACTCTTCAAAATCAAATACGTGTTCGGTATCGCTCGGCTCGAAATTCTCATCGTAATATTTATTTTTCTCCATGTTGCTGACCATAGAAAAGATCAACAAATGGTTTGATCGTAATGGTACAGACTTAGCACGTTTTAACTACAGATAACAATTGCTAACGCCGACGATAACGTATGCTAAAAACATTTGGCTCCGCAGCGGAGCCTTCGGAGTTACGGAACAAATGACAAATGTCTCCGTAGCGGAGCCTTCGGAGCGCTAAGGGTTAAAATGTCCTCTCGCGAGACAAGCGTAATTTCTCCATCTAAAGTTACTTCACTTTCATTCGTCATTTACATCATCTTATCATCTACATCATTTGTGGTTCTACTCGACGGCAGAAGCATTTCCAAAGTTCCTCTTCCAAACGTTTTTGGAACCACGAATTCGGGTCTGAAGTTTTGACAAGATTCATTGAGAATCCTAAGTGGTTAAATTCAAGCTAAATTTTGTAAACAACGATACTTTTCCAAAATCGAGGTCATTTAATCACTGAAACAGAAACTAAAAAGTTAAAATTTATCATTCCTAATTTCCAAAATCGAGATCATTTAATTACTGAAACAGAAACTAGAAAGTGAAAATTTATAAAAATAAACAATACTTTAATCCTTTCGCGTCCCAAAGATCTTAGTAAAATTCGATTTGTCCGAACACGTCGCAATGAAAATAAACTTGGAAAACTAGTAAAAAAATTACTGTCATCCAAATATAACCAGCGCTGCACTCGGCGCGTCGAACATTTTCTTTAGCTACCGTAAAAATAAAACAATAATAATATATACAATATATTAGGTGTACCGGAAAGTTCTGTCCGATACTGTCACTTCAAGTTTCAATCCATATGCACATGTTGATTTGAGACATATATGACTATCTCTCTTTATCGTTGCATTTACGCACATGTACTCTCCTAAATAAACTGAAACAAAGATGTCTCGTGTCATTATTAAGCGAGACGCGATCGTGAAAACATGGCTACCGATGATAATGCCAGACCACATGCTGCTTCGGCGACTCGTCAGAAAATCGCAGAGCTAGGCTGGGAAATTCTGTCGCATCCACCATACTCCCCAGACCTAGCACCCTCCGATTATCACTTGTTTCTCTCTTTGCAAAACTTTTTACAGGAAAAAAATTCAAAACCGAAGCTGATGTCAACCAAGCACTAGCTGAGTTCTTCGCCTCTAAAAATAAATCATTTTTTAAAAATGGCATTTACAAGTTGCCGTCACGCTGGCAAGAAGTCATAAGTAACGATGAAAAGTATATTCTACAATAAATATTATTAAATGTATGAAAATTGTGTTATATTTCAATTCAAAAACGGACAGAACTTTCCGGTAGACCTAATAATATAACAATAATATTCGCGCGAAATATAAACTTTAGGTAAAAATGTCTAGTGCTCGGTCCACCACTTTCGCCCTCCCGAAACGAAATCCTAACGCGCCCCCGCCCCGCGGCGCGTCTCACAAATAAAATCCCGGCTTTACGTTTTCGATCTCTGTGGTCCCAGGTACACCTGTACTTCAGCGCGCTACCGGAAGACAAGATCCCGTACGCGGGTAGTGCCGGCGAGCGGGAGCGGGTGAAGCAGCTGCTGCAGCAGCTACCGCCGCACGACAACGAGGCCCGATACTGCAGCGGCCTGACCGAGGAAGAGAAGCGGGAGCTGAGGGTGTTCGCGGGCCAGCGGAAACGCGAGGCGCTGGGCCGGGGCCACGCGAGCCAGCTCGAGAGGCCTCACGGGGCCGGATGCCGGGAGTGCAGCAGGCCCATCGCCGCCGGTGAGATGGCGGTAGCCGCGAGCCGGGCCGGGCCCTCGGCCCTCTGGCATCCGGCCTGCTTCGTCTGCTGCGTCTGCAGGCAGCTGCTCGTCGACCTGATATACTTCTGGCGGGACGGCAGGCTCTACTGCGGCCGGCACCATGCCGAAACATTGAAGCCTAGGTGCTGCGCCTGCGACGAGATCATTCTCGCCGACGAGTGCACCGAGGCCGAGGGCCGCGCATGGCACATGAGGCACTTCGCGTGTCTCGAGTGCGATCGACAGGTAATTCTCTTTCAGGATCGATCGATCGCAAGATCGATTCCTCGTTTTTCAGCAGCTTTCGCGGCAACACTGTCGCGAATGGGACAGAATAACAGACGTTTACAGTAATTTCTCCCGGAAATGCCGAATCTCGGGTTGCTGCGAATTTCGCTGTGCTAGTCCTACGCCTATGTAATATTTTATTTGGCATGGCACATGAGACACTTCGCGGGTCTCGAGTGCGATCGACAGGTAATTCTCTTTCAGGGTCGATCGATCGCAAGATCGATTCCTCGTCTTCTGGTCCCCGTTTTTCAGCAGCTTTCGCGGCAACACTGTCGCGAATGGGACAGGATAACAGACGTTTACAGTAATTTCTCCCGGAAATGCCGAATCTCGGGTTGCTGCGAATTTCGCTGTGCTAGTCCTACGCCTATGTAATAATTTATTAATTTATTGTATTTATTGCTACGTTAATTTATTGTTACAATTTACTGCTATGTCGATGTTGAGAGTCGACGGAGTCGATCGAGCAAAATGGTCTGTTTAAAAAGTCAAGTTAAAAAAAACGCGGAGCTACAAAGTATGTGACCGTCGAATCGTGGCATGTAGCCTTCGAATCGTGGCAAAAAATTAGGAATGAAAAAGTTAAGTCATCGTTTTTATTATCGCATTACTGTGAGTTCATATTAATGTTCACCGCTAATGTTACTGGCTGCTGACCTTTTTTGCCGACCGCCCCTGGTTTCTGTAAAAACGAGTCTCGTGGCTCGAATAATCGCGATTTCTGGGAGGAATTACTGTATTCAGGACGAGATAACAAAAGCGCTGAACGATCTATCTAATTCTAGGTTGAGCCATTCGGAAGATCGGTTCTTTTACTGTAACAATGCATCGATGAGATTCTTTTACGTTCACTTGCTTTATTTTTCATTTTTTTGTAACAGGTGATGGGGAGGGGGTAGAAATTTACCATAAAAGTTCACGAGGATTAAGCATTTGCTATAACGTTGTAATAACTAGACTGTGGATTTTATAGATTTACTGTAAATAAAATTGATTCTAGGTAAACTTTAAAATATCAAAGAAGTTCTAATAATTTAACACTGTTTATTTATTATTTTTAAATAACTTACTATATTGATTAAAGAAAGAAAGGAACTCCTACTTGCTTCTTGTATACTGCAATTGCTAAAGAAAATTGTCATTTTGCATAGAGATCCGCAGTCCAGTAATAACTCGAATTATATTCGCATAGGTGACTTTACAATTTTTTAAGAACAGTTGCGAGACAATACAATTCTTCTTATCGCGCGATTGTGACATCATTCATGAATGTCGCGTGAATCAGCGAAATGAGACAAAATTGTCTGTGCAACGGAATTTTAATGAACTTAAGAAGAATATAATAATATAGAAGAAATATAATATAAAGAAAAAATATATATATAATATTATAATATATTATTATATATAATATAATATAATATTATTATATATAATATATAATATAATATAATATTATTATATATAATATAATATAATATTATTATATATAATATATAATATAATATTATATAATATATATAATAATATATATATAAGAGAGATAATATATATAAAAATATATAATATAGAGAAAAATTATGGTCCCAAAATTATGGTAGTTCTGGAAAATGGGGAGTTCTTGAGATCATTTGGAGTAACTTTTTCCTTAGCGAAAATGCAATCCGCGGCTTCGTTTACGAGTTATTAGCGAAAAACGCTGACCAATGAGAGGCGAGTACGGCTGGCGCGTGGCATCCCAGCCAACGAGCGGTCGAAGCCCGGTTCCGTCGATTGGCTCGGCCGCCTAGCCCTAGGCGATCTCGCCCTCTCATTGGTCCCTGTTTTTCGTGAATAACTCGTAAACGAAGCCGCGGATTGCATTTTCGCTGAGGAAAAAGTTGCTCCAAATAAGCTCAGGAATTCCATTTCCCGAAAGTACCATAATTTTGGGACACCCTGTAGAATGTTAACTTGGACGTGGAAATTAGTCTCCGCGTCTCGCAGCGTCGATCCTTGCCGAACACGACTGCCGGCACCAATCAATTTCATTGAACTTCCATTCATCAGTCTACGCGCGACGCTTTTATTTCCTGGTCAGCCCATTAATCGATACCCACGTTAAATACTGATTGATACATGAATAGAGAGATACGCGTAGCAGATGTAGTTCCGGATTATTGCAGAGGGGGGGTAGCGGCGGCACTGGCACGTGCAATCGCGATACACTATCGGTCAAAAGTTCGCGGAACATGTTTCGCCGCCGGGCTCCGTTTTCCAACATCGAATCGAGCGAAAAATGTCCCCCTAGATTTCGACAACGTTTAAAACAACGGTGCTGAAATTGAAAATCGACCCTTCGTAGTCCGAGGAGCTCTTAAAAATAAATTTGGGATTTAGCATCCTGAAAAAAAGCTGAAAATATTATGCAATTAAATTTTAAAAATCGTTCTCCGATTTGTCCGAGTTTAATTTTCTGTCAGCTTTCTTCGTGAAACACATCGAACAATGAAGGAGACTTTCTGACTAATTTAATCAGATTCGTATTATTTCGTAAAATTTTCTTTCACAGTTGCACAATTTTCTTCAATGTTTAGAACTTTTTCGATTAGTAATAATTTTTTGGTAGGAAAGAGTAATATTTACTCGATATTCTCAATTCAATTGTATTCGATATTTTCTTGAGTGCATAAATATTGGTAAGAACAGAATTTTATACCGATTTAAAAGTCATACTAAACAAATTAGTATTAAAAATTACGATTCAAGCACATGAAAGCTCGATAACAGCTGAATCCAAAATAGTCTTTTTCACCTTATTTCCATGTTGTTGAAATTGAGCTTGGCGACCCGTAGAATATTTAATTCAATATACAAGGTGTCCCAAAAATGTCTCGCAATCCGAAAGCAGAAGATTCCTGAGGTGATTTGAAGCAACTTTTTCCTTAGCGAAAATGCAATCCGCGGCTTCGTTTACGAGCTATTAACGAAAAACAGTGACCAATCAGAGGCGAGATCATTTGGCGCGAAACGGCCGAGCCAATGAGCGGAACTGGGCTCCGTGCACTCGTTGGCTGGGCCGCCGCGCGCCAGCCGAGCTCGCCTCTTATTGATCAGCGTTTTTCGTTAATAACTCGTAAACGAAGCCTCGGAGAAAATTTTCGCAAAGGAAAAAGTTGCTTCAAGTGACCTCAGGAACATCCCATTTCCGGTTTGCGAGACATTTTCGGGACATCCTGTATAATTAAAAATAAATATATATAGTATAATAAATATTTAATATATATTATATATACTATATATAATATATTAATATATATAATAATAGTATATAATATATATATATATATTTATATATATAGTATATAATATATATATATATATATATATATATATATATATATATATATTATATACTATATATATA